TCATCGTAGATGGCCATTTGAGTGCGAATGGGAGGGTCCAGACCTTGACGGTAGGCACTGAGGAGGGCCGCCTCATTCCAGCCACTCACTGGTGGTGGAGGAGCCTTGATGCAGGTGCAGCCTGTAGATTAAATCTCATTAAAAACATTTGGTGGGATTCAAAAGCAAGACAACATATATTTTTTTCGAGAATCACTGAAACGTGTGTTAATAAATTTTGTATAATAGTTTACTAATGCTTTGGTTGTTTTCATTTCAACAATTCAACCAAAGTTTGCTTGGCCTCTGCTGTAGCTCTCAAATTCAAATTCTCTGTGAACCTGTGGGACTTGATGTGGTGTTCCTTAAAGAAGTTAATGTGTGTGTGTGTCAGAGATCCACTGATAAATTGCGTCAGGGTGTGTCTGATTCACAAATGGACGAGCTCTCTCTCATCGCTCTTTCACCGTGATGGGTCCAAATCAACGGATCAAAGGAGTGAAGATGCTGATGGGGGATGAGAGGAGGAGAGGAGGAAGTGGGAGGTGTGTGTGTAAGGAGGGATGTCCTGCAAGATTGACGTGATCTAATCCATTTTGTGACAGACTCCTTACGATATATAAGCACAACATCTTAACATTCCGGAATTACTTGGACTGAAGAAGAGACTCTGAGCCCAGAAACACCTGTTACTGAAGAGCATACGTTCAAAGACACATGTAAGTAAAAAAAAAAACTCTTATTCGTTCTCATAATTGTTCATTCAAGGAAAGATATTTGAAAATAATTTATTTTGTAATTAATTTTGTGAGGAAAGTTTTGATTACAAGTGCAAAATATGTGCAGTTTCTACCTGATCTAACCCCCAAACATTACTTTCATTGATGTAATAGTTGAATTACATATTTCTTTTTTATTATTTGAATTTATTTTTTTGGATTTATCATCAAGTACATTATAAGACTCGAATCATTTAGAAATTGCACTATTTTATTTTATTTTATATTATATTGAATACTCTGTATCATATTATATACAGTGCCCTGTATCAGAGTCAGCATGCTGCCCGCCGTCTTCACTATGCCGGTGACTACGTGCCTGATTGGCTCGCGCTTGGGAACGGTCGCGTTCCTGCTTCTGCTAATTCTGTCCGCCACTGAGACTTCTGCACACGGTACCACAGTCGAGCACGACCTTCATATCGTCCACAACGTCGATAACAGAAGTAAGTTTTTTCTATCCTTTTTTTGTCATTGTAATTTACTTGATTTATCAAGAGAATTGTAGATGCAGTGCGCAATGTCAGTGGAGCAGCTGTTAGACGTTTATGCATTTAAACATAATTCCTAATAGCCTACATTATAGAGATATTCTTATAAAAGTATTCGTAATGCATTAAAATGCACTTTGTAGTCAGTTTTCATTGTAATCACTGTCATTATATACATTAACACGAAGGCTATCTGTTCGGCTATATAAAAAGAAAATCTTGTCAAATTAACAGAAATTATCTGACACTAACAGTATTTTTGCGCCTGTACAGCCTACATTATTTTATTAACCGATATAATGTTAATAAACCAACCTGCTTGAATTTCTTAAATATGCTTTGAATGTTAAAAAAATAATGCAGATGGTAAAACAAAAGGCCATATAATGACTTGGCTAACAAACCTGTTAACACACATCATCATGAGAAATATTTACTTATAAAATATTTTACTGTAAAAGTATTGAATAAATTGAGTAAATTATGTCTAAATATGGTAGATAATGTACAGTTACCAGTTAACAGTTTTTACTGTAGTATTTTTTACCTTTTTTTGTGCAGTTGTAAGCTATTTGAACTTGATTGTTACAAATGACTTTTATTAGTTAACCTGATGTAGCCAGGTTGACTTGATCATATTATTATTATTATTATTATTTACTTAAAAATGTACTTTAATAGAGTATAATACATTCTAGCACCAATAACGTGAAATATTATGTCGTTCATTTGTTTTAACACATCTGTTTTAATGCATTTTATAACTGTGCATTACGAGAACTTATCATAAAACTGATTATAAGACATAATGAATGTATTTAAATAAGGCATTATAGAGAGGCTTCACAGGATCTTTCTAGTTGTTTACCTTTTTAAAGTAATAGTAAAACTCAAATTAGTTTCATGATAGCCAACAAACAGACCAAAAGTATTAGTAATATGTGCACATACACCAAATATGCACTTTGATAGTAACATTTGTCTTGATCTCTCCCAATCAGGTCCAGAGATTGACCCGTTCTGGTATGTGGGGCGCGGTGTGAGACCTATCGGGCGGTTTGGGAAGAGACAGAGTGGAGGTGGTCTGCAGCCAGTGGTCAAATCTCTGGAGATCCTGTTGAACACTCTCAGGAATAAGGAGAGCTTGAGGAGTGCGCTGGCACAGGAGGAGTCAGATTGGTTACCGTGAGATCTGCTACCTGCCGCGACCTGCTGCTGTAATATTTAGGTGTATTAGTATAATTAATCACAGTTTTCTCATTCTTTCCCTGGCTGTGTGTCCCTCAATATTCATTTCAAATAAACTGACTGGCAAGTGAAAATATCTGTACATATTACAAATGCAATCTATATTAATAAATAAATCAACAAATGTATGTATGTTTTCCTCTTATTAGTAGTTTATTGTAATGGATTATGCAAACTACTGCTCCACAATTCAATGACAATAAAGTTGTTCAAATATAATCTACCAAAGAACACAAACATCTCAGAGTCTCTTCAGGAATGCAAACTTTATTCGTATTTATTTGAACACTGCTTGTGTCAGAACAAATTTGGCACATGAGAATTCATTGGCTTTTTCTTTTCGCTACAGAATATTTAATTTTTCCCCCGTTGACACTTTATGGTTAAAATACACAGAGGACGTTCTGAAAAGAGGCAGACTAATGCCCTTGCGGTCACAACAAACCCAAAATACACTTAAAGAGCCTACGGTATTTCATATCCGTCTCTTGTCTTTTTGTACTTCATTCATATATGTAAATATGCATTTGTTTTTTTTGTTTTTTTTTTCAAATAGAAAAAAATACATCACACTGTAAGACATTTTCAATTTCTCGACTGTGCTTTTCATGGGACTTTTTACATCTATTGGAAACGTGATACATGCTTTTATATACAAACATTTCCATAGACAACAACAAGGAGCAGGACCCATTTGAGAGCGTGAAAGCTGAACAGCTATTAGAGTGATATTAGAGTGGAATGGGGAAGACAAATGTAGGGGATGATTATGGGATGCAATTGTATATTTCATGCCAGTTTATTCTCTATTGGCTCAAAAAATGGACATTCCATACAATATATTAATGTTAACTAAATACAGTTCAGGCTTTTGTAATTTCTGTTAGCTAAAAGGGTGATTTTGTCTCTGAAGACACATTGCGCATGCAGCACAGATGTCATCTTAGTCACTCGCTAAGAAAATATGATGCAGTATTTGATGTCACAGCTGTAATTCTGCATGGGAATAGGTGGAGATTCCTGCTTAATAAAATGCTCAAAATGAGGACAACTCAATTATTCTTGTCAGATTTCTAATGGATGCTCACAGCTCACAGTTACTCTTAAAATCTTCCCCAGTGTCAAATTTAGGATCATGTGATTTGCACTGTGGAACAGTTTTCCATGCCAACTAGCACAACAAACATAAAGAAAATTTATTTAAGAAAAAAAAAATGTTCTGGTAGAAAATGACCAGTATCTTTTCCATTACGTTTACAAATATTAGCTTCAAACCTTAAAATACAACACAATGAAATGTGTAATTCAAAATAGAGGTGGTACATACTTTTTTTTTTAACGGATTTTTACAGAAACATTACAGATTGTTTTAGATTGAATTTAGATATTTTAAGTATGTACATCCAGGTGGATATATGTAATACTAAAGCAGTGCTCTGAGAAAAACAACTGGGTGTTTCAGATGAATAAAAGACGTTAATTAATAAAAGAAGAATTAGAAGTCAACAAAGGCCACAACCCAAATTACCAGAGTGCTTCATACTGAGATGACAGTGATTTGATGTTCATATTCAAGAGGTCACTGGATATCTGAGGCTGATTCGAAGACAAGTATGAATACATGGGGGGGTTACGATTCATGCAAACACACTCACAAACTCATTATATGGCAAGGTGGTCGAGTGCTTTCAATGGCACTTTTTTTTTTTTTAGAGACTAAATCATGAATTTCACAGTTATTTTATATGCAGTTTTGAGTACAGCGCATTAAAGAAAACTCCAAAAATGACCATTGGAAAAAGAATCCTGAGATATTTGCGACACATATGAGAATAACAGAAACATGACAATGCAAATACAACAGGTCCTGCAGATATTTTGTGTTTACTTTCACATAGACATTTCGTACATTTAAATTTTTTTTACCGAATGTGCTTCAGTTTCGCAATCAAAAAACGAAACAAAAAAAAAACAGGTCACATTAGTCATCCCAGTCACATTGCCGACATACAGCATACAAATTCAAACATGTACAACACTCAGTAAAACATTAGAAAAAGAGAATGAGGTGATGTCCTAGATTGTTAACATTTACCACTGTCCATCTATCTTACACATACAGTAATTACATGAGTTTAAATCTACAATTATAACCCTCTGTGATGGTTCGTTGTAGGAGTTTGATCTCCATTAAGGCAGAGAGAGAGAGAGAGAGAGAGAGAGAGAGAGAGAGAGAGAGAGAG